TTTGTAAGTTCAACCGTTTGGTTTCCTATAGCGAACAAAATAAACAAATAAACAAACTTCTTCTTTTATATATATAGATACTATAATGATTAGAATTATTTAATAGTTTAATACCAATTTCATTTTTATACGTACCAATTTATTCTGTTGTTTCAAAACTATCTAAATTAAAAGTATTGATTTAAATAAAATTCCTTTTTAGGTCATTATATTAATTGGTTGTTTTTCTTGCACGTGTGGCATTACAAAGACAACTCAAAACACTTATAATAAGGTACGACGACGGCGGTAAGCTTGATTTTTATTTTTGCAATTCCTATTGGTATATATTTGATGAATTATAATTTTAACTGAAGAACATTTAGCAAGGTTTAGTGCCATGAAATTTTTAATTTGGTAGCATTTCTGTTTGAATAAAATTGGAATATGCTAGTATTAAGTAGTAGTTAGAATATGAAACCTAAATGTTTTTCAAAACACGTGGTTGCGAGCAAAGAATTTTATCTTTAAGTTTAACAATAAAGTGCACATTTGTCACGTGACCCTGTGATAGTGTCTGCTGTCATTACTAAAACCGGCAGGTGTCAAAAATAATTCTTCAATATAAGATAGTCAGTGGCCTGCAAAAAAAAAAAAAAGTAAAATGCCACAGAGTTGTGTATGTTACAGCAGTTCAAATCGGCGGGGGGAAGGGGAAGATCGTCCGTTTTCACAAGTGGGAATACTTACGGAAAATAAAGTCGTTAAAAATAAAATGCAAAGATAATATTACGAATGTCTTAACAAATTTACCGTACAGTAGTGTGGGCACTGTCAATGACAATGTACATTAACTCATTGCTTGACCTAGTACTAGTAGTAGTACCGGTATATACAAAGTAAAATCCTACATAATTATACTACTGCTAGCCTGACACACAAGACGCATGAAAGATAGAAAAATTCCCAAAGACAGCATGTATGGAGATTGGCTGCAAGAAAAAGATCAGTTGGACGTCTTCATCTTCGCTACAACGGTAGTAAAGCTTACAAGGGCGCTCGTAAAAAACATATGAAATTTGTGTAGACAACTGGGAAGAAGTAACAGAAAATTGCAGTGCTTGGAAAAGCTGTGTGAAGTAAGGCATGGAGAAAAAGGAAAGGGCTCAGCAAGCAGAAGAAAAGGGGACAATCAGAAAAGCATTCAGCATGACAACCTTTTCCTGCTCAAACTGCAACAGAGTGTGCTTGTCCCAAAGAGGACTATATAGCCACATAAGAAAGTGCCTGAAGAATTACTTTTTTGGTGTCTAATGACAGTAATGTATAGTCTTGAGAGACTTGCAGATTCCTACTTTTGGAGTTCTGTACTCAAGATTAAAAAAATGAGGTTTGAGGGCCTGCCACCACTTAGGACTAAGACTCAATAAGCCCTTAAAATTCGAAAATTTTATTTGAGGGCCCTAAACTTAAAATGTTAAGTGGTATTTGACCAGTCATGATATAGGTCCCTAAAGCCTTAATGATAAAGGTTTCATTGATATTAAACAAATTGCTAAAGTTTAAACTGCATTACATTAACAAGAATTTAACATTCTCAGAAGGCTTTAATTATGATTACAAAACAACTATGAAAATGGTGGGTTCTTTATAGATTGGCTAGTAAGGCCCCCCCTATTCTAAGCTCATGTTCAATGTCATGACTGGAATTATAACAAGTTGCTTGTGAGAAAGAAATTGTTAAATATGAAAGTCACATGGCCTACCTATGGTCTGAGCCAGAGACTCCTAAGTAGGCTAGACCATAGCTGAATAGGCCTGCTCTGAAAAATAAAGTTAAAATCACTGTTGCCCCCATCCCAAGGCATTTCTAAGTTATTCTAGTAAAAATGCCACTTACTCACAGAAGCTATTCTGTCCATACTTATGACCTTGAGGTAAAAGTTACTTATTTTATGGGTAAATGTTTGGTGATGAAATTCACCAAGGTTTATAGCAATTTTGTATGGTTGTGCATGTGAGGTTCTTTACGTTTGTAACTTTGTTGCCTGTTATGTTATTTTATGTGTATATTCTTTGCTGAAAGTATGTGACATTTGATGTAAGTGTATTTTCATGAATGAATGCTTTATCATATCTTTCACTATGAGGAAGAATATTTTCATTATGAAATGGTTAAACTAAGATAAATTCAGAAATTTGGTCAAAGAGCACAAGGATGTCGTTATACAGTGTGTTGTGCCATTGTAATAATTATTTATTTGTCCAAGATGTGTGAAAGTACTGTAAAGTTTCATATACAAAGTGAAAAGCATTCTATAAATATGAAGACTTGGGTTAGTTTCTTCAGAAAGAACAGCAAAGCTGTTTCTTCGGATAGTCGGACAAAACCAGGAAGCTGTTAAAACACAAGTTCTGAATTCTGTTGTTGAGAGTCCTTGAAAAACATCAGTTGATGCCTTGAATATTCCTTAAGAAGGCTTTGGATTTTAACATCTGTTTGTGAACCTGATACTGCTTTAATACATATTTTACATACAATGAATTTACATGTTAAGAATATTACATATAACAGTGAACATGTTCTTCACATATACTAAAGTCAAAACATTGTTTATCTTTATAATTTTCTTGTTTCTGAGATTAACAAAATTGTAAATATATCATTTAAAGCTTGGGGTTAATTTTCTTTCTTGCAATTTATTTGCCTTAGAGCTTTTTTCTTCCTTGTGTAGTTACTCAAGAATTTAAAATTTCTCTTAATGCCTCAAGTCACCAGAACATGTGTTGAGGCTGAACAAGACATTTTGTTGTCATTTAGTCACATGATATTCTGTTATTTGCAAGCCACTGAAATATAATAAATTAACTTCATGAGTTTCCATGCATGTTTATTTGTTTTACTGAAGTAGTTGTCTTGGCACTTAATTTTTATAACATTAATTTTATAAATTTCAAGAACAGTGACCAATGCTAGAATTGTATTTTGCCCTCGATCAAAGGTAAGAGACATTGTCTTTTTTAACACATCACCTAAGTTATTGAAATTAGGTCATAGCTGAGTTTTATGTATAAAATAGTGAAATAACCATCATGAATAGATAGTATTTTAATATTTTAGGCTTTTTTTTTATTGCACCATTTCTTTCAATAAAGTAGCTTAACATACGATATCATTAGGTTTTTTACCAAAACTGTATCAGTTCAACCTTTATAGGCTCTTCACAACATTCAATGCTGAGATTTAGCATTGGTGCTCTTTCTTAGCTTCAACTTTTGTGATTGTTGACCTCTAAAACAATGTTACTTGAACATTAGCTGAAAATAATCAATGGCCAGAAGGAGTGTTGATATAGAAAAATGCAATATGGCAGCTTCTATGAGGGACATGACATTTGTGATGGGTAATAGCCTTTTCCAATGCAAAATAATTATGCATTCAGCTCATAAATGATCTGCTCAAGTAGGGGACTTAGAAATTCCAAGATGAAGATCTCTCTAATACGCAATGTCATTGGAAAACAAAGGAATTTTGGTCAACTTGGGACACCAAAACCATCCAGAAAGAAACCTGAAGACAATCAAACCACAGCCTCATGGTAAGTAAAAGTGTGGCATCTTTTAACGTGTGAGAATCTGCAAACATGAAAGGTCAGAAGCAAAAGCTGTCCATATGTCCCAGCCAACAGTATGCAGCATAATCAGAAAGAATATCCATCTGGGAAACAACACAAGATACTTGTATACAAGTTTCTTCTATCACATATTCATTCACTATCAAATACCACAAATAGTTGGAGAATGAAACAAGTATTTATGCTATTCCATGAATAGTATGAATGACATATTATTGTATGCAGTGTCTATAAATTACTGTGCAATCAATCTGCTGAAGAGGATGCTGGAAACCATTATCTTTGTACAATAGATAGATTGTGGAAAGCCTGCATGGATGAGTGGTGTTCTTTTGACATGATCTTTTTAACAACATTGCCCTTTATAATGGAAACTATGCTGTAGGGATATTGTCAAGATGCACAGTTCTCAGAGAGAGCATGGTTGGATGTTGAACATGAACTTTAACAATGTTGTGAGGCTCCAAAATTATTTGAATATAGCTTACTCGGCCTCTGAGGTTTTGTAGTCAGAACAGTCATACTGAGTAATACCATAATTTTGTCACAAGTCAATCCACAGTCTAGACTGTTAAGTACAGAGCTGTTTTGGTGTAATTGGGAATAACTGTGGACAATAAAATTGTCTAATTCCATATTGGTTTTGTTTCTACGTTCATGTGCTGTTGATACTGTACAGTTTTGTTCCTTAATTTCTTAGAAACAATTCTGATAATTGGTTTTTCTAAGAAATTGTAATTAATTTATTTTCATCTTTGGTGAAAAATTAAAGCTTGAAATAATCTTTTTATAATGTAGATATTTTGATATGGTTATGATTTGCAAAAAAAAATTATGTATGTTATTTTGAAGTATTTTACACTGATATTTATACATTCTTTAAGAACTTAAGTCAATCTAACAATAATTAAATGGGTATGTTTCCTTGTACTATCATTAAAGTTTAACACCATATCTAGTGTGTAGGCTTAATAAATGTGTATGTTTTATAAACTGTAAATATTTTATTGGTTCCAGTAAGCATGAAAATGTATTGATTCAAGACTATTTGTGAAACAATTACACTTGTCTCCAGTTAAATTTGATCTGATCTTTATGAAGACCACTTTAAATGTGAGGTTGTATCATCATTTTACTTCAGTGTAATATCTTCTCATATTTCATTTTGTCTTTCTTGTGTAAATACTAAGAATAATATCCCGAGTGTGTAAAGTAATATTAACCTTTTTTTTTATATCCAAATATTCTAAAATAGCCAGGAGCATGGAAAGACAATTGAGCTTTGAAAATGGACTAAAACAAGGGCAACAAGGAAGATGTAATGAAATTGAAGAATGTGATGACTTGAAGGAAGATGAAGAGTTAACTGTATTTAAACCTCAAAATTTGACATCATCTATTCAAATTGATCCTCTTTGTGAACCAAGAACATTGCGTAAAAACAGTGTTATTCTAAAATTTATTCCACCAAGTGACATAGAGTCCAAAGTTTTAGTCCTTTTTACTGGTGGGACTATTGGAATGCGTCAGACTTCAAAAGGAGGTAAGCTGTGTTTCAATGAACCATATGTGAAACTAAGTATACGTGTAAGAGGTAGTAGAATTCATCTCCTCATGTAGTCCAACCTCTTTAAAAATGACACAAATATTCATCATATTTGCAATCTATTTAAAAAAAAAGTCACTTATTGGCTATATGCAGAAAATATGACAAATGTATTGTTAAATATTTACCAAAATAGATATTTTCTTGTAACCATGCGCACATATTTGATAGCATTTTGGACCAAGGTTATTGGGGGCTTTAGCATAACACAATAAATCTTAACAGATTTTTCTGCAGGAACTTTTGGTTTTTACATTTAAAAAAATTTAAAAAAAAATTGTATTTAGAAATTTGTAGATGTATAATTAATATTAGCTTATGATTTCATGTTTTATCATGTAATGGTGACCATTGTAGAACCTATAACTTGGATTTTTGTTATGCTACTTTTTTAGCTTACTTTGCTGTGTGTTGTATGTAAATTTAGTTTTGCTTCAGTTCTGGCTATAGCTGAAGAATTTACTCAATTAATCAATCTAATTGATTACCTATGGGCAGCAATTACCTTGACTAGTAAACATCACAAATATTCAAAATTACATTTAGTCAATTAATGTCCCAAAAATAATCAACGAAATGAAGTTAGTTTCCTATTATTACCATTATCAAATAGTTGACTATTCTTCTTCAGGAGAACAAAGTTTGTCATGAAAATAATCAACTAAATGAAATTAGTTGTTCTAGTTATTACCGTTTTCAGTTATTCCAACAATCAATTGATTAAAATTACAATTAAATTAATTGCAATGAAACTAATCAACTAATCAAGTTTTTGATTATTTACTGTTTTAGATTGTTTTGAATATCCAATTATTCCAAATATTTCCACTATATTTATTTCTTGTTAAGCACAAAGCTACATAATGGGCACCTCCTCCTAGTGGCTCAGTGGTAAGTCTGAAGGCTTATATTGCTATTTTGATACCTATGGTGGGCATAGCAAAGTTAGCCCAGTATGTAGCTACGCTTTTAACTACAAACAAACAAATATAATGGATATGTGTGAGGGAGGGGGGTAGTGGTTTGAGAGTTTGGGGTTTTATTCCCATTGCCACAAAAATTCCTCATCATGTCTTTGTTATTGCAAATTTACTAAAGCTTGTTGCCACTGTCACTAATTTTGAACTTCTGACTATAAGAAAGGCAACTGATTGGTAGCACCCACCACCAACTCTGACCACTTAAGTACTAAATTTTTTAACAATATTATATTTCCAAAACATACTTACCTCTGCTGACACTTATAGCTATTTCTCGACTGCCAGGGTTTCAA